CCCATGTCCCCAGATGGCCGTACCAGGTCACTAGCTGTACCCAGGTCGTGGTCCTGCAGTGTTCCCACGTACCCCATGGAGAGCTCCAGGCCCTTAGCACCACTCCTGTCCCTGTGCGCCTCCATGACCTCAGAAAAATCGTCCAAGTATTGCAGGTTTGTGAAGGCAGCACCATACATAACATCATTTTTGTAGGAGATGACAGGCAAGCTTGATGAAGCTTTTGCTAACCAGGAAAATATAGATTTGAGGGAGCTGGGAAAGCAGTGTCTGCTGTAGCTTGTCCTGAACTGAAAAATGCCAGTTGCATCATTAGTGTTAAAAACCTGTTTCAAGTGGGCTAGAGTGTGCAGCAGCTTTCTCCTGTTTGTTTTCCCAAATACTACACAGCTTCTTAAAAATAAGCATTCAGTAGGGAGCCTCCTTAGGTGAAGCTGATGAGCCGGGTGTTGTAGCTGTGGGACAGCACGTGTGGGACACAGCTGCAGGTTGTGTGAACAGCCTTTATAGAAGAGGTGTGAAAGCCTGCCTGTACTCTTGTCAAATGCACTGAGCCTGGGTCGTCCGGGCTGGTGCAGGGTGTCTCCAGCCATGCTGGGGATCCAGGCTTTCCTGCTGTTCACAGCCTGTGGCCATGGGTGCCATGACTTCTAGGGCCCCTGATAAATTGTTCCCAGGCTTGGTTGGTCAGCCTCGGTGGTGGTGGGTGCCCTGACCTCATCTTGGTTCATTGCCCTCTGCCCTCCCCTCTACTCAGTGTGCAGGTAAGGAGTTTGCAGGCAGTGCATAAACTCTGGGTTTTTAAACACCGTAATTAAGGCAGGATTCCTCACACCTCCAGAAAGGGGAAGACGGTTTGCCTGGAGAGAAAGAAAGGAGGGGTTTTCTGCACATAACCCCTAGCTGCTCAGCCCAGACGTAACTCCAGTTTAGGCGAGACCTGATGCCGATGGCTATCATCGCTTGCTTTTCAGCACTGCATTAAAAGCACTGTGGTTAACAGCTTCATAGCCCTACTCGCTCCAGGAAATGCCCACAAGATGGGGCCGCTCTCCTTGATTGTCACGAAGAAGACTTTTAGGGGGGTTGTCTCTAATTGCAGTAATCAACGCTGTGAATGGTCCCTGTCAAATCCTGCAGTAAAGGTACACCACTGCCAGAAGAAACCTGGCTTCCTAGCGAGTGGGAGGCTGTAGGGAGCAAAGCTGCTGAATGTTTGTACGTGCAGCAAGGCACTGCAGCCTGCTGGATTGTGATAAAGGCGGAATGTCACCTCCTCCATAGGACTCTGGAGTTATTCAGAGGGAGCCCTGGTTGGGATACAACATCGTCACACCCTGCATTTTATTTTGCACTACGGAATGTTTATTGCTTTATCTCCTGTACATGGCAAAATCAGATTGCCTTGGGGTATCATTATAACTTGATAAGCCAATGAGTTGGAAGAAGCATGACTTGAATTGTACCCTGAGGGTATTCTGTTTATGCTTGCTCATCATGAGAAAGATCTTTTTTCTCATACAAACAAATATAAATGGAGGTATACTCAGCTGCTTAAGGGATTTTTAACCATGGCAAACAGTATTAGTTCCAAAGTGCTAACTTAATCTGCTTGCAATTCTCTGTTACTTAAACTTAATTGCCCAAAATCACATTAAAATGACTGAACAAACTAAAACTCAATTGAGAGGGGATGCACCTTAAGCAACCCAAATATACATCACTGAAGAAGTAGCATTCAAAGAATAGAAACTAGTAAATCGAAACTTCTGCCATCCAAGCATTGCCAGCACTCATTAAAGGTAGGAGAAGCCTCTGCTATAGTATAGACTCTTGTGGAGGCCAGTGTTTCCACTTTCGTGTGTGGCACTCCTGCCACTTGAGGATCAGAGCTCGCTGGTTGAGAAGACAGGAGATTGCTACCTTGACAACATGCCATAGAGGAAGCAGGGAAAGGGCTGTTGAGGTCTTTTTGAGCAATGGGAAGAGTAAATAGAGGGATGAAGGAGAAGGCACAGAAGTGTTTCAAACTGGAGCTGGTTTGAGTCTTGTTACCTCTTTCTGTCTTGAGGCTGTAGCCCCAGGCTCACTGCTGCGGGTGGGAGAACAGCACCGATGCTGTTGTGCTATGGCTGCAGTATTAGAAGTTCACAGATCAGACTCTTTGCCTAAACTGGGTCTTCCCAAAATTGTCTTACTATTTGGTTTTGTTTTATAGAGGGGGCTTATGTGATAGCCTACATCTTGAAACTGGGAAGGGTAAATCAAGGCAATGGAAATGCCACACCTGGGCTGTAAATGTGTCCTGTGTGGGCTTGATAGAATGTGACAAAGTGTCTAAAACTGTGAGACTGTGAAGTGTAGTGAGTAATTTTTTGAAAAAAGGCAAGCCATGCAGCATTTTAAAGTCATGATGAAATTCACACTTCATAAAGCTTTGAAATGAGATGGCAATGCAGCTGATTTCTTAGGTGGAGATCAAACCTGAGTAGCTGATACGTTAAAAGTCTTCATGTCTGAGCTGTGACAAGTTTGAACTGTATTTCGTTTGAAGTTTCACAAATGCAGGAGCTGATCTCACCTAAAAGTGCAAAGAGCTGATCTACACTGCAAATACAATCAGATTCCTGAACTAACAACCTGCTGCTCGTTAAATTTGTGGTAACTGAATTACATTTAGGTGAAAACTAGAATTCAATTAATAAGCAACTTTTAAAATCCTAGGTTCCTGCAATTTTTATTTAGATGTACTTTAGCTGTACCAGGTAAATTTTATGGGGTGCGGGGAGAAAAAAATGTTTTTCTCATGGTCCACTCAACATCTCTGTTAATCCGATCTGTGAACTGTTCTTACACACTTCTGAAAATCTGCACCCATGTCAATTTAATTAGTATTTTTCACCAAGCATTCACTCTGTTCAAAGGAGGGTTATGCTGCGAGTTTTGGCGTGTTTGTA